ATGTAAAGGGCGTAAACAGGGACGGGAATTGAAGGCTCATAGACAGTCAGATTTCAGACATCCAGACAGTGATTTTCAGGGACCAATTGGAAATACGGTAGGAAAAGGGGGACGAAATGAAACTAAGAAGCCATGACCCGGAAACCCTATAGACGGCATCTTAAAATAATAGTGATGGCGATTACGCTTCACTAAATCCCCTTTTAGCGACACAGAAGGAAACGGGAACACAGAATAGTGTGAATAGGTAAATGGGCGATATGAGGAGGGGTTGAAAGAGATTCAGCATCATAAGTTAGGGCAAAAACGAGGGGTGACATTACAATGGTTAAACAGAAAATTTTTCAAGAAGATAGCCTTTAGAATAAACACCCATCAGTAATCATAACCTAGATGCCAAAGCAGATAAATTATTTAGCCTACCCATGATTGAAGTGGTGATCGTTGTGGGTAGAGAGATTCCCTGAACCACTAATTCGTCAGCTGCAGTTACAAACTCTGGAAGAAGACGCCGCGAGAACTCTAGCAGCTCAGGAGCTGGCTGAACCGTGAGACGGACGGAGCCGATTGCCCTTCGGACTAAATCCACCACTTCCGTTTTGGATGATACACTGATGTCGATACCATCCACAGCAAGCAGGCGGTCTCCAGGCAAAAGACCAGTACATGGGATGCCTCGGGGACCCGGTTCAACCAAAAACATCTGACACGAGGACGAACGAGAGTTTCATTAGAGGTGAAAAAGAGGAATAAATCATAGTACAGGCATTTAGCTTTAAAATTGGAATAATCCATTTAAGGTACATCAGTAAATGAGCTATAATTAGCCAATAAAAACTCCGATAAAACACCTGTTAAACAAATATATTGTATCAAATATTTTCAAGAAAGTAATCGTTAATTAAAATCTTCGTTACAAAAACAACTAAAATAAAGTGCAAAGAGATCAGAAATTAAATAGCCAATCTGCTCAATTAAGGATCCGAAGGAGGTTACATTATGTACGATATGACAT